GCTCCACTTTGGAGGCTAAAACCTTAAACCATACCCTAGTTAGAATTGAAACAAGTTCAGAGGCCAGCTCAGTGGCAGATGCCTATAATCTTAGTACTCTGTGAGGTCGAAACCATGAGTTTGAGACCAGCCTGAGTAAGAGTAAGACCCTCATTGCTACCAAAAGTAGAAAAGATAGCTGGACGTGATGCTGTGCTCCTACAGTCTGAGCTGCTCTGGAGGCTGAGGCAGGAGGGTGGCTTGAACCCAGGAATTTGAGGTTGTAGGGAACTATGATGATGCCACTGCACTCTAGGCTTGGGCAACAGAGTGAGATCCTGTCTCCCCCCCAAAAAAAACAAGTTTACAGAATTTTGAGTCTCCCCAGCCTTTAAAAACTTCTTTGACTAGGCAGAGGTAGAGGAATAGGATTTAACATAATTCCTTAAGGTCTTTATACTTCTGTAACTGTACATAAATTTATTTTGTTTTTTCCGCATGTGACCCGAGTCCTTGTGCATGTCTCACTGCCCAGGGATGCACGTGCATGGGAACCCACTCCATTATTTTCCCTGCAGCTGCAAGGCTGCAGCCTCACCCTGGCCCTTGAGGATCCTGTGGCTGACATAAATTATTTTAAAGGACATGAACAATTACTTAATAGTCTTAATAAATTTGAAAAGTAATTAATGGCATAAATATTTCATAGTTTAGAATTATTTGAAGTTCATGCTTTTAAAACAAATTCAGACTAGTCTTCACCATTAATGCTTCAAGTTAATGGGCTTTATTACTTTTGGGGTATTAACTTTTCCCCCCCCCTCTGTGCTTCTTAAGTACTAGAAGTGAAACATCCACATCTGATAACACAGAAACTTATCAAGAGAATACAAGGTAAGCTTTTGAGTAATTCTGTTACGTTAGTAAATAGTCATCACTTTATCAAGTAATATTTTTAAATTAAACTTTTTAAAATTCAGTTAAGCTCATCAGGCATAATCTAGAAGTTAGAAGTTTAGAAATGGCAGTGCAGTTGCTGCTTTTAAGAACCAGATTAGAAGAACTTAATTGTTCTCTTTTGCTGTGGTCAGGATTCTTCTGTGTATGATTCTGGTAGAGTTGTCAACATTGAAATGTCTCTTGCTAAAATTCAGAAGTATTAAAACCCAGCGATTTGTGATCCTCATAATGTTTTGAAGCGTTTCATTCTGGTGATCAGTGTTTTTGTTTTTCCTGTGAGTTTTAGGAATATCCAATTCTTGGGACCTGGGATAGATTAAAAATATAATGTTGGTAGAATTCTTTGGTTTTAAATTCCTAGATAGAGGTTTCCAAACTGTGGAACACTACAGGGTATTTCAATTTTTCAAGGGATACACATGAGTGTAATTAAGTTTAGACCTAACTACTTAATAAATGGAACCAGCTAGGTTTTGAGTTTTGTTTTGGCCCTAGAGGCACCATGAAAAACTTAACTACTTAACTAGAAACACTAAGTCCTATAAACTGAGATTGGGAGCCCCTATTCTAGATCATTTTTTGAAAACACTTTCAAAATGAGAGAACCTTTGAATAGTTTAATAACTACTACTATTTTTGGTTGAAAATACATTTAATAGACTAAATGATAACTGTGAAAGGTAAACAGATTTCTGATTTTCAAAATTAACAAAGCTCTGGCTAGGCAGACAAGAAACCACCTGTTTATTTGTCCACAAGTAGGCTTGGTATATGTCATTATCTTTTTTAAAATTTTATTTACATTTATTTTATCATAAGGACATTTACACTAGACTGTTTATTGCAGTTCAGTTTACAATCGCCAAATTGTGGAAACAACCTAAATGCCCACTATTCCAGGAATGGTTTAACAAGCTATGGTTTATGTATACTGTGGAATACTATTCAGGCACTAAAAAAGATGGTGGCTTTACATCTTTTATATTAATCTGGATGGAGTTGAAACACATTCTTATTAGTAAAGCATCACAAGAATGGAGAGAAGCAAGAATCCAGTGTACTGAATTCTTATATGAAGACAATTGAGGCTAATACATGGTGGGGGGTAGGGGAATGAGGGAGCGAAGAGAGGGAAAGAGGGTGGGGGTGGAGGATCATATTGTGTGACACACCTTTTGGTGGCAGGACACAATTATAAGAGGGACTTTACCTAACAAATGCAAGCAGTGTAACTTGGTTCTTTGTATCCTCAATGATTCTCCAACAATAAAAAAAAAATTATAACTTTTTTTTTTAAGAAACTTACAGTGGTGATTGGTGGTTATGATTTTGAATGAAGTATGTTTCATTTAAAATTGTTTTTTAGTTCTTCTGGGCATCCCACCTTTAAGTGTCCCTTGTGTCAAGAATCAAATTTTACCAGACAGCGTTTACTGGATCACTGTAACAGTAATCACCTATTTCAGATAGTCCCTGTGGTAAGTACAAATGTTTAAGAGTCTTCCTGCTTAGATTAAAGCATGCTGTACCATTTATTTCACCTCATGTACATGAAGGAAGGTGGTTGATTTAAATTTGGTCAGGGCATTATCAGTAAGGTAAATATTTGCCAACAAATGATTGATGACTGAAGCAAATTGAAATTTAAAATTCTAGTAACTCATAAAAAGGGAGGTACTTATTTCGAGGTTATACAGAAGAGTGAAATAGTGAATGATGAATCAGGAGACTTATTCCATGCAGTAGCAGAACCTAACTGTTTGGGGGCCTTGGTTTCTGCTCTGTAGTTTGCGGACAAGTGGATCCAGTGAGGTGGATCTGCCACAGGTGGAAATACCTGAAAGAAAGAATATAGTCAGTATGTGTCTTTTATTGTACTTTGCAGAATTTAGTATATGAATGCATAAAGCAAGAAAGGAAAAGAATCATACTTTTTTTTTTTTTTGAGACAGAGCCTCAAGCTGTCCCCCTGGGTAGAGTGCCATGGCATCATAGCTCACAGCAACCTCCAACTCCTGGGCTCAAGCGAGTCTCCTGCCTCAGGCTCCCAAGTAGCTGGGACCACAGGTGCCCACCACAATGCCCGGCTATTATTTTTTTTTTTCTTGGTTGCAGCCGTCATTGTTGTTTGGCGGGCCCAGGCTGGATTCGAACCCACCACCTTAGGTATGTCGCTAGTGCCTTAGCCACTTGAGCCATAGGTGCTGAGCTGAATCATATTTTTGATACATATTTTTTACAACATTTTGAGGGTATATAAGAAAGTGGCGAGATATCTTTGATGAATTAGAGAGCTGAGTGTAGGGTTCCAACATTGTCATCATCTCCTTATTTTGAACATGAGTTTCACAGGTAAGTGATTTCAACTGTGGATGGAACAGAAGAAATTGACCTGAGAGAGAGAACTTCCCTTTCAGTCAAACATTTTAATATTTACAGTATTGTCTTCAGAAATAAGAATAGAAGGAAAATGTTGTCAATAAGAATTGATATTTCTAAGCTGTTTTAGTGAATGTACTAGAAAAAATTGTGAAATGCCCCAGTAGTTCTTGAGGATGACCTTAAACTCTTAAATGCTATGTAAAAAGACATACCACCCCTTTGCTTATTACAAGGGGCCAGTTACGGTTAAAAAAACAAACAAACTACGAAGAAGTCTACTGGGAACCTCTAATATTTAAGAGATTTCACTTAGTTTTACATTGGATTTTTTTTTTCATTTCTGCATCACGTTCAGTGTATGATTAACTTTGCCTAGAGTTCAATTGTGAGTTTCTTTTTATGTCTTTTCAGTATGTTAT